TACCTTAACAATTGGGCTGTTTGGCAAGGACTACAGGACTAGTGCCCATTTCTAACGCTGGGGATTCAACTTAACCTGAAACATGACTTGCCCAAATAGAGAAAACACAATAGGGCTCTCCCTCAAAACCTGAAATTCTCCTTAGCCTCAGGACACCTCTAACATTAGACAAACAGACTCGAGCAAGCTAACCTTTTTCCTTAACTGTTGACAAACGAATGTAAATAGCAACTGATACATTTTGAATTCACTATGCCCATTTTTGTTTCCTTAGATACCGCATTATGGTTGTCGTAATTTCCTTTGTTTATTAATGATAGTTATCATGGTAACATAACAGTTTGTTTTCATGATACTTCTTAAATGCAGTTACTTCCTAAATCTTAATCCTATATCAAACCAATACTAATACCTCATGTTGTATAGTTATTATTCCAGAGCTATAAATATTACCTGCGGAAAGACAAATGTATGAAGTTAGTGACAGTGAATCTTGTTAAAAGCCCCAGGCAGCTATATCCCAATCCTATCATGGCATCTTGTAAATAATCAAGTCTGGACCATACAAACCAGTGATTAAAATTATGGATAATGTCCCACAATCATTATGTACTGGAGACAACTAACAGTGAGTGAGTGAGTGAGTGAGTGAGTGAGTGAGTGAGTGAGTGAGTGAGTGAGTGAGTGAGTGAGTGGGTGGGTGGATGGGTGGGTGTTTGAGTGAGTGAGTGAGTGAGTGAGTGGGTGGGTGGGTGGATGGGTGGGTGTTTGAGAGAGTGACAATTTACATCTTTAGTGAAACCCACGAGAACATCTATGGTGCTGAGAAACCTAGAAACAATCAGGGCGCTCTGGGATTCGAATCCATAATCATAGGCTTCCGGCATGCCCAAGGGACATGCACTATGAATTGTAAATTGGGGCGTCGAAGTCTTTTGTTTTGTTTGTTGTTTAATACCGCACTCAGCAATATTCCAGCTATATGACAGCGGTCTGTAAAAAAGTCTGGACCAGACAATCCAGTGATTGACACCATGAGCATCAATCCACGCAATTGGGACACAATGACATGCATCAAGGAAGTCAGCAAGTCTGACCACCGGATCCCGTTAGTCGCCTCTTACAACAAGCATAGTCTCAATTATTCATGCAGCTCACCTCTGCAGGGTTTCATCTGAGGCAGGAATGAGTATTTAATGCAATTTCCATCCAAAATACTTCTGATCATTTTTTCAATGAGTCATTTGTGACACAATATCTTTTTATCAGTCAGTGCTAGTTCCTTAAAAACATCCAAAACAAACAATATTTTAGACTTTTACATATATACTGCTCAAAAGAAGTTAAAGAACACTTGATTTTTTCGTATAACTATGGCTGGTGGGTACTGAACACACAAAGCATCCCATTGTGGGTGTTCTTTAACTTGTTTTGAGTAGTATATTTTAGGGAAGAGAGCTAGGTTCTATTTTATTGAGGATGTCAGCAAATATTGTATGCTGCCACAGTCAGCTATATTCCAACAATTCACAACCTGTAAACCAAAAGTTTCGGCATACAGAAATGTACCCTGACCAAACTCAGAATACAGAACAGTACAACTAACCTCAGTAGGGGAAAATGATCAACGCACACAATCAACCAGGTGAAAATTGCAAATAGCATATCTCAATAAATAAGTTCCAATTAACATGGGCACTTAAATTGAGTTGTTGGTTTGCCAGGGTATGTGTATGAGGCACCGCAGGGTTAATTACTAGGAAGAATACAAAACTCATTACACATCAATCTCATTAAAATCAGATCTTAGTTCTCGCTATCGCTAAACAAAGATCGGAGGACATCCCATTACGGGTCACGTCAGAACGACCTTTCATCCAACCAATCAGAGCGTCGCTTACCAGATCGTGAAAGTGACAGTTGGAATGTGTTTTCTGATCATGCAACCACGAAATATTTAACACGGGGTATTCCAAATGACAGTTACAGGTTTTATGATCATATCCATACAATCTAGGCCATCTATAAGCCATTCCAGAATGTTCTTCTTATTAGTTTTAACATTTTTAATCGAGAATACGTCAAAATATGTTTCAAAAGTAGTCGCCAGTTTGAAACCAATGTCGTAAAGCTCGAGAAAGCTGATTGGCTAATGTCGATTTCTTGTCAGTCATTTCATTGGTCGGTCAAAATTAATGAAGGTCGTTCTGACGTGACCCGTAATGGGATGTCCTCAGATCTTTGTTTAGCGATATCGAAAACTAAGATCGGATTTTAATGAGATTGATTACACATGTACCCCCATGCTTGTTGTCGGAGCAAAATATGAGGATCAGACAGTTTAAGATGTGTGACCTGGTTGACCATGTGTCATCACACCAGTGGATAGCTGCTCATGCTATCAGCCACTGGTTTGCCTGTCCCAGCAATAGGGACACTAATCTCTGGCTTCTCGGCTGCCTGACACTGGCCGCTAGGGTTCACTAGCTGCCGTGAGTCGATTTGCTCGCAAATGCAACTGAGCGTGACAAGAGACTGGGCTACCGTCTGTAAAGACAGCGTAAATAAACTTGGAGGCATTTGTTTTACGCATTTTTAAACACTGATTGGTTACCCGTGAACTATGATGATTTCGACAAAGGAAGCATGTTAATTAATTTCTTCAGCCTAAACAAACAGACAAAAAGAATGGCTGAAGCTCATCAGATGTCATCATTTGGAAATACCCCTGATGGTAAAAGTTTAATAATAAAAAAGTACCCCTGCAGTGAAAGCATTTTCACATTTCGGATTCTTGTTGTCATCCACGTTTTCTGGTATAACCAAACACTTGTGTATTTGTCATCATTCACTTGATGCTCAGTTAATGAATCTATAACAGGTATAGTTAGTGTTAAAACCACTCAGATTACCTGACAAAGGTTCCCATTTTGCATTTCTTGTGTCTGGGGTAATTTTTCAATCTAAATCCAGGTTTGAAGTGAGGTGAAATGTGTGTTATGTAATATGCACGTGGCAGCCCAGCAAAGAGATGAACGATCAGTTGATTTCCTTTTTTGTAAAAGGATCAACAGAAAATATGTTGATTGATTAATCACTGTTATCTTGCACAGTGGATATGTCAAAAGTAAGTGTTCACATATGTAGGTTTACTAAAGCAAAGGCAATACACTTATATCATGGCGTGTAGTGCTGATGTAAAAACAACATATTTTGTTCAAATGGTTAACCGATAATATGTTGATTGAATGCTCATTGTTATCTAACTCAATGGCTTTTTTTTAAAGAACAGTGACATTATGAAAATAGTTGTCACGTGGGCTTTCTCAGCTGACCTTTGAGAATTGACACCTATGTGAAACACCTGAAACAATCTAAATGATCAGTCGTGAAACGAACACGGGTTATCATATACCGGAATGATATATATATTTTAAAATATTTAATTGTTACAGAGACACGTGGCAGCGAATACGTTTCTTTGTACAGTTGCAGACATGTGGGATATTGTTCCCTTATGTGGATATTCACGGATACATTCCTCGAACAAGTAAGCTGCCTAAAATTATACATATAAATTTGGTAGGTTGTAATTATGATATTTGCATTTTGTTTTCCTTCATTTGCTGTAGCATTGAACAGATTCATTCTTTTTCCTCTACGTCTTGGTTGGGAAGTTCTTTGAGGCACGATAGACGTTGGTTTTACAAGTCTTTTCCTTTGTAAGCGTGTATTATTACAGTCAATTTGTAAAATGAGATTCTCTTAGGCAATTTATAAAATGTCTAAATATTTCCGTCGTTTTACAAATTGACGGAAAAATCTGTCTATTTATTTAACAGATTGACTAAAAATGATTAAGACGGTTAAAAGGACTTAAAAAAATCACAATAGATTAATTCTGCAAGGAATAAAAGCCAAACAATAAAGTAATGTACTTTTCATCCTTACATTTTCAGTCACTTGGTCATGATATTAAACATAAAAATGTTTGGAATTTGTTATCATAATAATACAGATGGACATATTTTTCAGTCAATTTGTAAAATAACTGAATATTCTGGCGTTTATTTAATTTTGATCATTTTGACTGTTAAAACATAAACACGATAAATTAAGCAATGATCAGGTGAAATACTTTGTGTTCAAAGTCAAAATAGTGTAAACTCTAAAAACCGTGCACAATTAGCAAGTGACTTATCAAAACATTGTCACCATTACCGATGCTACCCACAAAGATACCAACATTTACAAATTATTTCCAAAACTGTATTTCATTTTGTTGATCAATGTGACCATACACCCGTATACTATGAATAAAAGTGACAAATGTGCATATGAATGGTGCAGCTTATGCATATGCTACTGTGATATATCAATAACATTCATTTTGTCACTCATCTGAAAATGTCTACACACACCTAAACCTAAATAAATCGCTTAACCTATTATTTTCTGTTCATTAATAAACCCATGTTAAAGCTGTACATAAAAATCTAAATTTTCTTTTGACTGCACAATCCTGCACGTGCAAAATGCTGCATAATTTCCATCTAAACCACATAGTACTTTCTTATTGAACATAATATGCAACATCATTGCATATTAACAATATTGCCGCATCTTGGGACATCATGATCATGATACGTTATATCAAGTAACATCAGCTGTTCGTGAAAAGACAAGATAAATACCATCGTAGTGCCTATCACATCCTTCAATGTAACGTGCACTGAATTTGGAAATCTTAATCTATATCACAAACACATGTTATTCACGATTACCGGTTTGGAACCTCAAGCCACCAACGTTTTGACATTGAGTTAAAATGCATTGTTAATGTCCATTCATGGTAAAAATAACCTTTACATGGAAACGAAAACGTCACGATTCGGTCAGAAGTTTTAACATGCATTTTTGTTTACATTCATGACTACAACAGCAGACGAATTTGTACCACTTCCGCAATGTACGGCCGCCAAGAATCTATCAATACTCACTTGATTTCGCCTCCAGACTCCCCGAAGACCTGTCACACCACAAACTGTGGTCTCCATTGTGGATTATGTAATGATTTTCAGTTTGAAATAACTCCATTCTTGTTCATTCACAACAACACGTATCTGTCATTATTGCAATTTGCACAGCTGATATCCACGATGAACTCCCCTTAGTTGGGTATAGTACTACTGGTGCAACTAATCCTGTTTCCTATGTTTTTGCGTGCATCTGTCGCAACCTTTACCGGTACAAATATTGGTCATATAGTTTGGAAATAAATAAATTATGTAATATGTTAAAAACATTTGGAACTATAGATTTTATATCATTAGTTTTTACTAATATATTTTTTTAAAGAAAGCTTTCAATGGGTTCCTTTACCTGTGCCATTTACAGTACTTATAAAGATTAGAAACATAAAATGTTATTGGAATGTAGGACCTTTTTAATATTGGCAAGTGGAAGTTATATAGAGTAATATAGTTTTGTTGCTAAGTTTCGGTTTAATCAATCTGTCCGATATTGATATTGATATTGACATCGTATATTGCATCGAATAACGACTGTACTTAATTTCTTGTGATGTGTAGTTCAACTAGTAGTACTTACTTGAAGGGACAGTCAAAATGAGCCGGGATATTCAAACGCGTTGCCAAGATCTGCTAAAAACCTTCCCTGTGATACGTATTCTGCTAAACTTTTCAGATATCATTATTTACCTTGATATTTTGTTCAAATACGTTTCAGATGAGGGATAAAAATTGTCATAGTCTGTTCTGTTCTTTCAACATTTTTTGGTCAGATAATTAAGATTCTTAAAATAATTATCACAAGCTTGATAACGGTGTTAGAACCTTCACCTAAACGTCGCTCCTAATTATAATAAAGAACTTGTTCATCCATATATATCATATCCTTACTTATAATTATGTTATTTAATTGTACTGTTGAATGAGTCGTTACAAGCTCGGAAATGACACTGAAAATTATGCATTGATAACGCACACGCATATGTCTCCGCCTGTGTAAGAGTATAACTGATTTAGTTCCTATTGGGAGACAATCGATCGTTTTATTTTTTTCTCGGTAAAAATATACAAGGTCATGTGCACATTTACAGTTTCGCTCTATGTCCTAAGATTGAGACTGGTTTTGTTATATTGAACTAGATACTTGAGGTAGTAGGCAAACAAATCACACGACTTAGATCTACTTAGTCTCGGTGACATAGCTGAATGTTTTATAAAATAATGACACTGTAGATTTTAAAAAAATAGCTTCCTTTTCACATTACCGTATGGAGATTTGAAATACAACACTGGCTAGTGAAAGAAATCCACAAAGGTAGAACATTCTAACAAGGGTGGTATAAGGTTACGCATAGCATTTGTAACCGCTGGAATATGGCTTAAGCAGTGTGTTAATCGATAAACAAATCCTATCACAATCTATATCACGAAAGGTGGTATTTTGCAGCATTGTTGACGTCATAATTGGCGTACTGTAAATGACGTAGCAGCTTATTGTTTGCGTCGAATTGACGCTGACAGCTTCTCGTCATGCTTTTCATCCCTCTCATCAGCTAATGTTTAGATAATAACCAACGAGCTGTCCCCAGTGAATGAACGGTCTTAATTGAGTAGATTATTCTGTACTTAATCTATTACTCATTGTCATTTTTAAAGTTAAAATGAAGAAAAAACGTATGAAAGGTGAACCATACAGTGAAACTTCACAGAAGAAAGCCTATTATTCTAATGACGTAATGTAATCAATTTGTGACGCCATGATCAATGGATGACGTCATATCGTATGTTTCTCAACACTGAAGCAATATGTCGTCATACGACTTCAAATGACCAATCAGCATCGAGAATCGATGAAAGGCACATGTGCAAATATATGAGAAAGTTATTACACATGATGATTCTACCTTTATGGGTAAATATTATACAAATATTCACTCTTGATAGGTAAATATGCGAAAACAAGGACCCGAGGACGCGACCCCTGAGGTGGTCTGATCGAGGGTCCCTGTTTTTTGCATATTGACCTCGTCAAGAGTAATTATTCGTTTTGTTATACCCACGGACTTGTATACCGAAATTCTCTTTAAAGTTTATGAAGTGACCAAACCGTCATTTCTGTAACTCAGCTGCGAACCGTGAAATGTTCATACCAGAGGCCATCTTGTTTTCTAGCAGACGAGTCAATATTCATCACGTGACAGGTTACTACTGATCATGTGACGAGTCAATATTCCTGGTCAGTGTCAGTCCACATGATTTCGGGGTCTGCTTTGAAATGTATTGTTTCGTCACGTGGTACGGATTGACCAATGGAATTGCAATATTCTTAATAGAGATATAACAATGAAGTATCTTACACCCGACACTATACGTCTGCAACAGTGCCCAAGATGCAAAATGGAACATAACCTGGGCCATCCGGTGTTCAAACCATAGGTTTCTGGCGTGCCCAAGGGACACAACTCTGGCGTGACTACAGCTTGACAGTCGAGGCATCGACGCTTAATTAACCGAAACCTTGCGTGAGTTCATTGGATGGGAACCAATAGCCTGTAGACAATGGGAACGTGCGACGAGGTTCTACGAGAGACTGTGTGGTAAAGAACCAACCTCTGTCACCTCCAGAATTTTCAAATGGGCGGACTGTCACGCAAATGGAAACATACGTAACTGGAATTTCCGTGTCCATGCTAAGCTAACAAACCTCTCACTGGAACACTTCATTACATTGAACAAATTTATTTATCCGAAGTAGCTGTCAAACTGATGCAAATCTACGTGCAGGACCGAAAAAGTAAAGTGCAGCAGTCGCATAGTCAACGTGGCAACGTTAGAAATAAACTGAGGATCTATCAACATTTCAAATTCACCAATGGAGCTGATGGGTACATACAGAGTTCCCTCCCCTGGTCGTAAAAGAAGTTCACTGGCTCAACTGTGTTGTGGTGTGGCGCCTTTAAGAGTAGAAACATAAAGATACGGAAACTTGCCTTGGAAGAAAGGATGTGTTTTAATTGTTACACTGACCCTTTATAATTAAATTAGAGCGCCATAATGAAGAAGATGTACTCAAGTCTGTGATATTTTCAATGATTATTCTGGTGTTGAAAAACATCTGTCCAACCCAGATGTACTGTTTTTAGCTGCCAAGACCTGCGAACCTTTATTACAACAACGCAAATCTATGTTATATCATGGTGTGCATATTGCCTGTTTTAGAATGTGTGTTGGTTTATTTGATGTTTTATGCGCCTTTTTAGTTAATAATTTTATTCAATTCGCAATTGTATTTAAATAGTCTCTCATAACCCATTGACGGATGTCTCTGTGAGGTTTATTTTGTGTCATTTATCTTAATAAGTAAACAGAGGTGAGACTGTTATAAACAATCTGTCTGTCTGTCTGAACCTTCATAGAGTGCCAAACTGTATGGACGTTGGAGTCTCATCAGACCATAACTGTTTAGTTGTGGCCTTTCTGTAATACAAAAGCACTAAATGAAGCAGGTAGATTTTCTTCAGGTTATGAATATTCTCAATTGAGCTCCTTTTCAATTTTAAAGGAGTTATTTGTTTCTATCAAAATTACATATTTTCAGAGACTAAGCGTTAGTCCGTAAAGAGGACAGTGTTATAAAAAATGACATTTATCTTCAACAGTATCTGGGCAATTAAAACACTATTTCCTCAAATGGTAGGTTAGTGCATCGCCCAGTCTCCATTCTTGTAGGGCAACCCCGGAGTGTACTTTGTCTAATACACTCCTATGACATTGAACGTAAAATATACTGTTTACCTCGAATAGTGTTTTTTTAATGACGGTAAAGACGCAACTTATTGCCAACATGTCCTCTTCCACTATTTGTCCTTTGTAGAGTTATTTGGACCTATTGCTTCAGGTTTTTATCATGCAAAACTGGCTCCCACAGGAGATATTAATATCTAAATTGTAGGTATCGCTGCAATGAAATTGCATCACAATGCTTTGGAGACCATTGTGACGTCATTGTTACATGACGTCACAATCAAATTACATCACTAATTGCCCTGCTACTGAAGCTGTTAGCAGTACTTTTTACACTAAGACACTGCTTATTACTGTTTACAAACTCAAAAAGTTGGATAAATGATGTTGGATGATAAATAAAATCTCACCCTCGTGTCTTTTGATATCAAATATATCAACACTCGTTGATAAAAGTGAAAAACCTACTCGGCAAGCCACTTTTATCAACATCGTGTTGATATATTTGATATCTAGATACACGAGGGTGACATTCTCTATTTATTTATCCTGCGTTCGTTTCATTAGATCTGCATGCCTTCCAAAGTATTCAGGGTATGGGAATTTTTTCATCATCCAAAACTGGCTTCCACCAGCGTGTCGCTGTAATGAAATTGCGTCACAATGGTTTGTGGAGCATTATGACGTCATCGGTTATACTATGACGTCACAATAAATGACATCACTAATTAATCTCAACGAAATCGGTGACATCTTTCAGCGCAATAATGCGACGCCCTGTGCATTCTATTATCTACCAGTCAATGAACAGTATAATATGGCAAAATAAGTTGTTTGGTTAGACAATTATTAGTCACGGAATCACTTGCAAACTATTTATTAATATTCACAAACAGAAAACGTTGGATGAATGATTTTGGATGAGAAATAGATGAAATATAACCAAATGAGTTGATAAATGTTACAAAGTTTTTACTTTTATCAACGAATATAAGACAGCTGCGCGATATATCGCAAAGAACAATGAAGAGCGGTAAACGCAATGCTCGAACGATCGCATCCAAAATTGGAAGAGATATCACAATCGGTATTGGGAGAAAAGGTACCGAAAGTTGACGTGTTAATTAACTTAACACCCCTGTTCATAAAATGTACTTGCCCGACATTCCCAGAGGTCGGATTATATTCAGGGAGTCATCATTATTTAAATACGGGTAAATATATATAAAGCTTGTACATTTCATTAACATCCTAACAGAGGCTGTACATAATGTTGAAATCTCATATAAGAAATAAACGACTCGAGGTCATTGGTTATCGTACAATAAAACACTGCTGGGAGAATAAACCACTCGGGGCTGCGCCACTCATGATTTATTCTCCCTGCA